TGAGTCTGAATACTCAGTGAATGGTACTAGTAATAAAGGTTTTGCATGAATATAGCCGGAGTCTTTCAAAACTAGACAAGCCAAAACCATACGAATATTAGCCGAGATTCTTTCAAGCGAAACACATCAAACTTTATCAAAACAAGGGATGAACCGTATTCATCTATCAAAGTCTTACAAGTCTCAAGGGATGCTTACTGACATCGGCAAACCACAAATCAAGCTTTCCGAACAAACAAGGGATGAACCGTATTCATCTATCAAAGTCTTACAAGTCTCAAGGGATGCTTACTGACATCGACAAACCACAAATCAAGCTTTCCGAACAAACAAGGGATGAACCGTATTCATCTATAGCAAAACAAGGACTGCACGATCCGTAATCGATTAGTCAACGGTACTGCGAAAGTTTATAGTCCTCCAGCACAAGGGACTTGTTTTACTTAGGCCCGTAGCCCGATCTAACATGATGGTCTAGTGTTACTTAGGCCCGTAGTCCGGTTTAACATAGTAGTCTTGTGTTACTTAGGCCCATAGCCCGATTTAACATAGTAGTCTTGTGTTACTTAGGCCCGTAGCCCGATTTAACATAATGGTCTAGTGTTACTTAGGCCCATAGCCCGGTTTAACATAGTAGTCTTGTGTTACTTAGGCCCGTAGCCCGATTTAACATAGTAGTCTTTTTCAGGGAAGGACCGTATCCTTTTATACTTAGTGCTGCGAAAGTTTAGAGTCCTCCAGCACAGGGGACTTTTCAAGGATAACATCAAAACAAGCTTATACTTGATACATCAAGACAGAGCTTTTCATTCATGCTTAACATCAAACAGTATAACATAGCTTTATCAAAAATACCACTCACATAGTTTTCCTCGGTGTAGGCTCAAAGCAAGGATCAAGGACCTACAATCACATGGCAATCACATTCTCAAAACAAGCTTTATATGCATGCGAATGATCTCGGCAAGATCCAAGTAAATAGCAAATCAACACATGCTGGGAGTTTAAACATTGCTCCCGTCTCATGAAAACACACTGGGTACCAACCAGGTCTTTGCCGAGGTCCTACACCTCCTTGCCGAGGTGTGGTCCCTATGGCTCCATTCAAAAGCAAAATCGGGAAATCCTGGGTTTCCCTTCGAAGAACATGCAGAACATGATGGGCATGATCATGAGAAAGATGAATGCAAGATCATAGCTTATTACAAAAATCTGGAATTTCATGCCATGAGTTCAAAACATGGACCTGGGCACCCATACAAGAAGATCATGCAAGGACAAACACAAAACATGGTTCTTGTTTCAAACATTCGGATCAAAACGAGACTTTTCTTCAAGGACACATGAAAACCATTTTCTCTTTCCAAAACCAACTTCAAATCGATGCATGACATGCAAAACAGATTCGATCATGCAATGCAGCTAGATGATCGATGAGAACAACAAGAGTAGGTTAGGATTCTAACCTCAAAACTCGAATCTAACGGTTCGAACCTCAAAGATCGAGCTTGGAAGATCTATTCTCACTCAAGAACTTCTCTTCCTAACTCTTAGAGCTTCTCTCTCTAAAAACAAAGGCTTGAGACAAAAATGATTTGTTTCTAGGTCTGCCGGCTGTCTTAACAATCAGCTCGGACACGTGGCGCTATCGGGTTGGTTCAACTCAAAAGGTGATTGATAGATAAGACAAGTCACTGACAAAGCGTATGCAGCAAGCTAGGGCAAGACGCATCGGCAAGTAACAACATCGGCTGAAGTCAAGGCTTCGGCAACAGGATAACAAAGACATCGGCTAGGGAGGACGACGCTTGACTAAGCTGTGCCACACCTTGGCCGGGGTGTGCCACACCTCGATCTAGGCCATACCTGCCCAAGGACAAGGATCACAAAGTGCAAGACATCTCGGCAAACCTGCCCGAGGTGAAGATGGGTCGGCTAAGTGGTTCCAAGGCAGCTCTAGGTACAAGGGTTCAGAGGTGAACTAAGCTCAAGATGACCTCGGCCACACACCAAGCAAAGAACGAAATCATGCAAGCAACACATAAACAAAACAAGGCAAAGCAAAACTTGCAAAACAACATAATCAAGACAAGATCATGCATGAATGCATGCAAATAAGACAAGAGTAAGGTGAGGGTCGCTACAGAGAGAAAGAGAGGCATGCTAAGCCCTTAATGAATGAAATCATGCTTGTTAGTGTGAGTACTGGGAAGGATCCTGGCTTGATCTAGATTGGTTCTACACTGTCTTCAGCGCGAGCGACTGGTCGCTTTCTTAAAAGATTTCAAAAAATGTTTTGCGCGGTCCTGCGAAGACCTGTGTGGAATCACTCTTGAGATTGTGCAGCCTAGGATCGCTCTTAGCCTCGAGACTCGACCCCTTGCTTTCAAACCTCGAACTCGGACTCAGAAAGTTCAAAGGTCAACCATAATGTGAGGCCTACGTGGCCAGATTCGAAGCAGCCCTCGAACTAG